CGAGGAGGAGCATGAGGGGGAGGCTCACTCGCTCGCTATCTGCGCGTGGCCAAGTCTCGAGCCACTCGGGTAGGCGGCGGCCCGGCGTTTTGAAGGCATTTCGCCCCCGCCGCCGGCAAACTCTAGGGGACCAGTCCCCGAGCCAATCAATCAGCTCTGGGATGCTCTGATTGCAGCACGGGGTCGAGAGGCCTGAAGAGACCCTGTATCACCCAAGAAGAGGCGAGGCGGGCGGCCACAAGCAAGAAGCGAGACGATGGCAATTTCAGCCCAAGTTTGGGGAAACCAATAGGTACCGATACCGCTACTCCCCAGACCCGTCCGGGGGTGAGTTTCTGACCAGAATTTCGAAGCGAATCCAACGGTGGCGACGATGGCCTCCGAGGCCCAAAACGGGGAAAACGGGCGAAGGGTAGAGGTATGGGTACCTGTTCCTCCTCTGAAGGCCCTCTCCTCTGACGGTAGCGCGGAACACAACAAAGACAAAATGGCGGACGTGTGAGATTCGCAAGCGTATGGCCCACGCCCTTCCGTGCCCCCCCTCGCGGGCAAACCTGCGTGTCCGCCCTCCCCAGTGGACAGACAGCGGTGAAAGGCAGAGAGAAGGGCCGAGAGGCCTGGAGGAAGGAGGAGGGAGGAGGAGGAGGAGGAGGAGGAGGAGGAGGAGGAGGAGGAGGAGGAGGAGGGGGAGGAGGAGGAGGAGGAGGAGCAGGAGCAACGGCACCCCTGGAGGAGGAGAGGAGGAGGAGAGGAGGGAGGAGGAAGGGGAGGAGGAGAGGAGATGGGAAGAGGTGGAGGAGGAGGAGGAGGAGGAGGAGGAGGAGGAGGAGGAGGAGGAGGAGGAGGAGGAGGAGAGAGAGGAGGTAGGAGGAGGAGGAGGAGCACGAGGACGGCCGAGACCCCCACCCCCCCCGCGGCGCCGCGGGCCCCCTTCGCCGCTCCCCGCCTGCGCCTCGGCGTGGCTGGACGGGCTTGCAGTGAGGCGCCTGAGAACGGGCCGCGGGGCTCTGCGCGCGGGGGCGGGGCGGGGGCATTGGGAGGAGGAGGGGGACCGAGGAAGGGTATCGAGGAGGAGGGGGATCGAGAAGGAGGGGGATCGAGGAGGAGGGAGACCGAGGAGGAGTGGGGGGTGGTCCTTGGGAGGAGGAGGGGGATCGAGGAGGGGGATCGAGTAAGACCGGTGAGGAGGTTAAAGTTGAGCGCGTTGGACGCGGATCCGAGCGGCAGCCCCTGTGCGGAGAGCCTTGAACTACATGAAGTGGCTCTGCGAGCAAATGGATGCGGGCCCTGCCCTCGCAGAGGCCTGCCTGGGGCGGCCCCTCGGGGCCCAAACAAGAACAAGACCGTGGTGTGGGGGGGGCAGGATCGGGAAGAAGGGAAGGTCGAGGAGGATCGAGAAGGATCGAGAAGGAGGAGGAGGATGAGGAGGAGGAACGCTCTACCCTCTTCGAACTTCCTCCTTCTCCTCCCGCCCCAAGTCTTCCTCCCCGTTTACATCATTCCCCTCCTCCTCCTGCTCCTCCTCCTCATCCTCGATTATCCTCTTCCTCCTCCTCCTCGATCCTCCTGCTCCGCCTCCTGGAGGGAACAAGGAGAAGGAGAAGGAGAAGGCGGAAGGGATCGAGGAAGAGGAGGCGGATGAGTGTCCGGGAGGATGAGAGGATGAGGATCGAGGAGGAGGAGGAAGAGGAGGAGGAGGAGGAGGAGGAGGAAGATCGAGAAGGAGAAAGCAACGGGCACGAGAGCCTGGAGCCTGGCGGCAAGTCGGCCGCGGCGTCTGCCCAGACGATGACGTAAGGCGCGTCCACCGTCGCTTGTCGTGGAGAGCTGGACCCCCCAGACAGACGCAGCGGCGGCGCGGTGGAGGCTGGCGGGGAGGACCGCTTGCAGAGGCGGTGGCGGCGCCGGCTGTTAGCCGAGGATCGAGGGAGCACTCGGACTCGGACTCGGAGCGGCTGCGCAGCAGCATCGAGAAAACTAGGCGGCGCGTCCAGGGGGGAAGTGCGAAAGGGCGAGCCTTCTCAGAAGGCTCGGAAGTTCCCCGGCCTTCTGAGAAGTTGTCTAAGCCTTCCCCGAAGGCACAGAACACTTCTCAGAGGGCGCGAGGACTTCTGAGAAGCCCCGCCGCCTTCGGAGAAGGCCCTCTCCTTCTCACTTCCCCCCCTCGCTCGCCGCCGAAAAACCCTGCTTCGGCGGAGCTGGGGCCCCCAGACAGGTGCAGCGCCGGCGCCGTGGAGGCTGGCTGGGAGGAGCTGCTCGCAGGCGCCTGCCGTTCCGGCTGGGAGCACTCGGAGTCGGGCGCCGAACGGCCGCGGAGCAGTAGTCACAGCGACAAGAAGCCCTGCTTCGGCGGGAGCCCTCCGCTTCCAACGGTGGTGCTCTCTTTTTTGTTGCTTTTCCGCTGTCCTGGTGGTGCGAGCGGGTGCGCACGTCTTCCTCGATGCTCGGAACTGGCCGGCTGAGTGGGAGTCCAGGAGAGCTCAGAATCGAATCGATAAGTCGGATCGGCGATCGAAGTGAATCGGATCGACGGGAATCGGCAGTCGAGTCGGGAAAAGTCGAATCGGCAGAAAACGGCAGGCTAGTATGCCTCCAATACGAAATCGGAAGCCAAATCGGAATCCGAAGTCGAATCGAATCGACATCGGAAGCCATCGAAGTCGAATCGAATCGGAAGAATCGACGCCACGGGGCCCTCGTCCAAGCCTTCGCGAGGCTGCGGCGGAGGGCGCGACGGAGCCACCCCCCCTCCACCTGGGAGCGGAGCGTGGCGCAGTTCCCCCCGGGGAGAAGCCGCCGCTCGGCGAGCCGTTCCTGGGGAGACAGCCTCTTGTCGGCGGCGAGCGAGGGGGGGGAGGAGGAGGAGGAGGAGGAGGAGGAGGAGGAGGAGGAGGAGGAGGAGGAGGAGGAGGAGGAGGAGGAGGAGGAGGAGGAGGAGGATAGGAGGGAGGAGGAGGAGAAGGAGGAGGAGGAGGAGGAGAGGAGGAGGGGGAGGAGGAGGAGGAGGAGGAGAGAAGGAGGAGGAGGGGGAGGAGGAGGAGGAGGAGGAGGAGGAGGATGAGGAGGAGGAGGAGGAGGGGGAGGAGGAGGAGGAGGAGGAGGAGCAGGAGGAGGAGGAGGAGAAGGAGGGAGAGGAGGAGGATGAGGAGGAGGAGGAGGAGCAGGAGGAGGAGGAGGAGGAGGAGGGAGGAGGAGGAGGACGACGAGGAGGAGGACTAGGAGGAGGACTAGGAGGAGGACTAAGAGGAGGACTAGGAGGAGGACTAGGAGGAGGACTAGGAGGAGGGTGGGGGAAAGCGGTGAAGGAGAAGGCCTTCTCAAAGGGTGTGGAAGCCCCCGCGGGTCTTCGGAGAAGTTCTAGAAGCCTTTTCCCGAAGGCAGACAACAGCGTCTGAGAAGGCCTGCTCCTTCTCCCTTCCCCCCCCTCGCTCGCCGCCGATCTTTGGAGAGATGCGGTGGGAGAGCACGCCGAACCACCCGATAGGCAAGTGCAAGAAGGCACTACGCCCGCGAGCGGGCCTTTGGAAGTAGACGGCCGAACCTGTCGTCGGGGCCAGGAGTCAAAGCGGTGCAAAGCGAGCGGAGCAAGCGCACGCAAATTGCGAAGCGCGGAGCAGTGGCAAGCTTGGCTAATTGTCGCCCATCCTGGTCGACGCGTTTGTGTGACAACCGCCGGCTGCGAGTTGCCACGGCAGGCGAGCATTTGTGTGCACGCGCATGACCCTACACAAATCGAAGATCGTGCAATCGCGTGTAGGCGTGCTCATGCAGCTTGCGGGCAGCCATGGTCATGTGTGACTGGGCGCTTGCACGTTTGCAATGCGTGGTGTGTGTACAGTTCGGCTGCACATTCACTAACATTATAGGCATGGTACATCGAGCATCGGGCATGGCATGGTCAAATCAATGAGCAACGCATGTGCGTAGCTGAAGAGAGCAGCGGCCGTGCCTCAACCAATCCACAAGTAGCGGACCCTCGCGGCAACGCGCCATTGCGACACATTCTGCGGCTGGACCCTCAGCCTACATCCTCACGCCCATACTGTTTGCCTCACATCTGCCACACGCGTCGAAACGAAACAACAACTCAATCGCCATTGCTTGCATACTGCCAAGTCCCAAGGCCCCAGAATGATAAGCGAACGCGCGCAAATGCAAAACAAACTCTAGGATGCAACTGCGCCCCCCCTCTGGCTCTACCACTTGCAGCATACATGACATACATAAACAATTCCCCAGGGGGGGACCGCCTAACGGTATATTTTTGAAGGCTCCCAGGGGCACACCAATACATAGACACACATCCAATATGTTCTCCATATGTTCCATCGTTTCTAGATTGTGTCGCCTTCCCCTCGACTTCCAACAGTTTCACATGTTTCCTTGGGAATCGACGTTTATTTGCGTCTGTGTGTGTTTTCTCCTGCTTCTTTGGGTTCGCATCTAAAGGGGATCTTTGTTGGGTTGTCATCGGCGGACGACGACAAACGACGACGCGCTGCGGATGCTGTGGGGGGCGTGGGTCCAGCTTGGGCCCGCCGTAGCTGTCGACGACGACGACGACGCCGACGCCGACGCCGACGCCGACTACGACGATCCGCTGCTGATGCCCAAACAAGGTGGGGGGTGCTGCGTGGGCCCGCCGTGGTCAGTCGATAACAATGAAGGATGGCGAAGCGACGACGTCGCGTTGTGGATGGATGCCCCGCCAGATGAAAGGGTGGGAAGCGGGAGACCCCATAATCGAATCGATTAGTCGATTGGCGATCGAAATGTATCGGCCCGACGGGAATCGGCAGCCGAGTCGGAAACAACACCCAATCCGCGGAAATCGGCACAGTAGTAAGGTTCCATCGGATGGGGAAGGGGAGCCGACGACGGCGACGACGAAGATGGCGCACTGCGGATGCCGCGTGGGTGTGTGTGTGTGTGTGCTGCGTAGGCCCAGTTGAGTCGACGACGACGATGACGACGACGACGGCGACGACGACGACGATTATTTGATTCTTCCATCGGCCCTGGGGGAAGCACAAATCCACATTGCAATAGTCTGTGGACCTTATGCGAGCGAACTGCGTTGAACAGATCCCCGTCGCAGGGCACGGTTGCCCTTACTCGCCTCTCTGGGGCGCGCCACGCGGGTGCAGGGGGATACGGCGAGCGGCAAACCTGCTGCGTGCTCAACCTCGGCTGATGCAAAGAGGGCCTAGGAACTGCGTGATCGAGCTCGGCCACCGCATTTGATACTTCATCGGGGCATTTGTTGCGCGCCCTGCTTGGCTCGGCTACGGCTACGTCAGCTTCAAACTGGCTGGCAGTCGGGTGTGCGCGAAACAATCGGCGCTGTGTGTTGACACTGGCTGGCTCTGAGCAAGCACGAGAAGGTGGCCTCAAGAAAAAAAAGGAACTTCGGATGTCTGCGGGCCTCCGCTCCTGAGCGGACTGTGCAACTGGAAGTGCTAGGCGGGAGAGATTGGCCGCGCACGGAAACAACAGGGCGGCGCTCATTCACTTCTGCTGGAGTGTCTCTACCCACGTCCCCAGTCCCTCCTCGAGCCAGCCTGGTGGGGCGACGCCTGCCAACACTTTGCCCACGCCCTCGGAGCGGAACGAAGCCATAATATCCTGGCGGAGGCTGAAATTGTTCATCGGGAGCTGGAGTTTGACGAGTTCACGACGACTGCGACGACGATGATGACGATATTTGGACACTCCGCCTGCTTATCGCGAGTGTGCGAAAGGCACCGATCGACATGGCAATGCCAATGGTGCAACAGATGCGGCAGCGTCCGTACAAGGGAACATGTGGGTGCCCGTCATCGCTCTCACCGCCGTCCTCCCGTGTAGAGCTGAACGCGCCTCTCCACGACCAGGAGCCGCCTTCTTCACCATCGGCCATCTCATCGTCCAGGGGCTCGCTCTCCTCGCCGTCCGCCAACCCATCCTTCAAGGACTCGCCAAAGCCAACGCAACGAGACATCTCACATTCTAATCCCATCAGCCCTTTGGGCGTGAGTGGTTTAGAGAGCTCTCTCTGTTCTCACCCCCCCTTCTTCCCCTTCGGGGAAGGGGTTTACCCCTCCCCCTTCCCCCTCCCCCTGGGCCTGGAGAGGGCGTCCCGCGGGTCGTTGGAGGGGTCTTTTTCGATTCCTGGGAGGGCAAAAAACGACACCCCTCACGAGGATTCTGGCCCCGACGGGGGGGGAGAAAAATGGCACCCTCTTCTTTGAAGCCAAAATCATTGATTGTACTACGGTTTTGGCCCCATTTTGGCCTTCTGAGGGGGCAGCGCTAATTAAAGCTCCCCTCTTCTTTCAAGCCAAACTCATTGATTTTACTAAGGTTTTGGCCCCATTTTGGCCTTCTGAGGGGGCAGCGCTAATTAAAGCTCCCCTCTTCTTTGATCGATTTCCTCCAAGATGGCCCCAAGAAGCGCCCAGGAGGCACCAAGGGGCCCCAAGATGGCCCCAAGAGGCCCCCAGGAGGCCCCCAAGAGGATCCCAAACGGCCCAAAGAGGCCCTCCCGAGGCACTCAAGACGCCGAAATGCCCATCAGGATGACTCTTTACTCGCCTGGGCGTCGTTTCTGGACGGGCAGGAGAAGGGGCCCGAACGACTCACACCAGGACGAGGGGCCCGAACAACTCACACCACGAGAAGCCCGAACGACTCACACCAGGACGAAGAGCCCGAACGACTCACACCACGAAGAGCCCGAACGACTCACACCAGGAAGAAGGGCCCGAACGACTCACACCAGGACGAGAAACCCCAAACGACTCAAACCACGAGGAGCGCTTTCTCTCCCTCCTCCTCCGCCTCGTCCTTCTCCCGCTCCCACCACAAGGAGGATGTACAAGGAGGCGGGAGGAAGGAGGAACAGGGGAGATATGCGGGGGCAGGCGGAAACACGCCTGAAAAACACGACTGTCGGCATGCTTCGCTCGAGTTGCTGTTTTGAGATGGGCTGGTGGGGATACGCGAAGCGTGAAGAATTCAAAGATGTGTTCGTCCTGTTGGTGCAGCTGCCTCTGGGATGCCACATGCCGGGCACCAAACGGATCATTCGACCTCTTGCACTGCGTCAGCTCATCAACGTCCATGCACAATATGCTATGATAACGTCGCTCGCGTCGTCCAAGCTTTTTTTCGTGCTCTCCGTGACTTCCTCCATCTTGGCAGCTGTCCTTGAGTCGGCGAGCTCAGCAGCAGCGGCGCTAACGCTTTCAACAGCATCCTCGAAGATAGAAAACGGAACCATCACGTCTGCAACCTCAACCCCTCCTCTATCAGAACCTTCCCCCGAGCCCACCTCAGGGTGGCCTCCCGGGGGGTCTGCTCCAGTGAACCAACGGCCAAGTTCTCCGCGAACCTCGTCTCGTCCTCCATGAGCTTCTTGTCGCTGTCAGCGTCCTCGTCAACGTACTGCCAACAGGTCCTCTTCCACAGCCTGCGCTTCAGCTCCTTTTCACGAACTCGGCGACGTTTGGACAGGGGACTGGACAGGTCAGGACCAGCGTCAGCCATCGCAAAATGTCGAGAGAGAGAGAGAGAAGGCCACGCATATCGAAGGCAAGTCGCGAAGCAGGACTGCAGCTGACTTGAGCCAACATGGCCGTACGACGACGACGACGATGCCTGAAAGAGTGAAACAATTCGCCTCGGATGTATACGACCCCTATACAACATCGATACGAAAGGCAATCGTCTTGAGGCTATCATACAATGGGGGTACACGATCCCCTCGGTGCCCGCGACGACCCCTGGTGCACGTGATCTTGAAAAATTGTTCGCGCCCCGCGGGGTCTATTCATTAGCCCCCAAGGGGGGAGGGGGGGATATGCATCTGATAATCACAAGCTGACATTACGTAGGGGGTGCTGGGCGGGCCGCCCGCCTTCGACAAAAATGACGACGACGAAAACTGCAACGACGACGCCTGCGACGAGGAGGAGGACGACGAAGAGGACGGCCCCCTTTCCAAAATTCTAGTTGCATCCGACCGGGATCTTCAGTGGATCGGACTGGAAGCCTGTGGGGATGCGACTGAGGTCGTTTTGTAATTCGACTGGGGCCCAGGGATCCGACTGGAATCCTACTTTGACCCCGTGGGGTATTATTGGAACCTGAGTGGGACCTTATTGGCATCTTACTGGGGTCGCACTATAACCCTGGAGACTCAGTGGAGCCCAAGGATATTCTGGGAATCGTATTGGGATCCTCTGGGAACTTTGGATCCTCTTGGAATGCTGAAGGAAAACGTTGGGAAAAGTGGAGAAAGAGAGAGAGAGAGAGAGAACGAGAGAGAGAGAGAGAGAACGAGAGAGAGAGAGAGACATAGACAGAGAGAGCGAGCAAGAGAGAGAGAGAGAGAGAGATAGGAGAGAGCGAGAAAGAGAGAACGAGATAATGGGGAGAGAGTCTGCGAATATGTATATTCCACATGGGACACCTTTATTAAACCATTGTGTTCTGCTGTTCTGGGGGGTAGAGCAAGCCAGGGAATGCCGCCCCCAAACGCCGACCGCGATATTTATTTCCGCATTTATGTTTAAAACCAAGCGAAGCAGGAAAAGGAATCCACTGCCCTTTGAGAGGGCTATCCCGATCGCACGGGCAAGCATTCGAGACGTGGCATCACAGCAAGCTTATTTCACAGGCTGTCCTGCCAGCGTGGCCAGAACTCTACCGATCGATGCCGGCCGCACGGCACTGAAAGCAAGAACCTGCGATGGCTCTGGCCTCGGGCAGACGGGGAAAAGGACGAAGAAAGAGACACACACACACACACACGCACGCACGCACGCACGCACGCACGCACGCACGCACGCACGCACGCACGCACGCACGCACGCACGCACGCACGCACTCACGCACGCACGCACGCACGCACGCACGCACGCACGCACGCACGCACGCACGCACGCACGCACGCACGCACGCACGCACGCACGCACGCACACCACACACACACACGCACACACACACACGCACACACACACACGCACACACGCACACCAAGCAGCTGAAATAAGCCGCGTGCAGACTCACTTCAAGCGGCCTGAAAGAAGGAGCCGGCTGAGAGGGGGGGGGGGGGGGAAATGTTGGGCGGGCAGGGGCGGCGGGAGCCAGACTTCGAGAGCGGCGGGCGAAGGGCGGCAAAGCGGAGGCCGCGCCAGAGGAAGGCGGGCAGGGAGCGGCGGGCGGGGCCAGAAAGGCGGGCGGAGGTAGCGCCAGCCAGAGCTCGGCGGCAGAGGGGCGGGGAGCGCGGGCGCCGGCGAGGGCGGGCAGGCCGCGGGCCGGGAGGCCCAGCCAGAGGTCCGGGAGGGGCTGGGAGAGCTCTCAAGGCGGGGCGGGGGGCGCGGCGGGAGGGCGAGCGAGGAGCAAGGAGCGAAAGCGGGGGGCCCAGGCAAAATGCGGCCTGGGGCGGCGGCGCGCCGACCGGCGGGCGGGGATGGCGGGCCGGGCCGAGGAGAGGGGCGGGGCAACGAGTGGGGCAAGACCGCCACGTGGTGCCGCCGTGCGCCTCCTCTCCGACGGAGAGCGACGCGGCCGCTCAGGCCGACGTCGCCGCGTGCGCCAGGCGAAAGGCGGCCTGGGGCGACGCACCGACCGGCGGGCGGGTACACCGGGCCGGTGCGGGGAGAGGAGCGGGGCGGCGAGTGGGGCAAGACCACAACGTAGTGCCATCGCGAGCCACCTCACGGTCTGGGAGCAACGCGGCCAGGCAGGCCGAAGTCGCCGTCCAAACCCTGGGATCGGAACCGACAAGGCAGCGATTCAAAGAACGCGCCCGCGCAGTCCGGTAAGGGGGGCCACGCCAACGAACCGCAGCGCGTCCGCGTCCGACGGGCCGCGAGCGAGGGGGAGGAGGGAGGAGGAGGAGGAGGAGGAGGAGGAGGAGGAGGAGGAGGAGGAGGAGGAGGAGGAGGAGGAGGAGGAGGAGCAAGAGGAGGAGAAGGAGGAGGAGGAGGAGGAGGAGGAGGAGGAGGAGGAGGAGGCTGGGCCTTCATGAGCCCGAGACCAGTGACCTCAGCGACAGGGGCGGGCAGATCCACGCCCGAGGCAGCGCGGGGACGGGCAGGGGACGGGGCGTGGCGGAGTCGGGAGGCAGAGGCGCGCCGAAGACGCGGCAAGGACCCAGGAGCAGCGTCCGCCGCTGAGGGTCGTCCCAGGGGACCCAGCCGGGTGGAGCGCGTAAAACGAAGCCGCGCGAAGAGCGCGCGCTGGCGGGTGAGTGGCGGCAGAGCGAGGGAGTAGGGGCGGCGGGCCGCTGGGGTGAGGCGGCGGCACGCGAGAGAGGCGCGGGGGCGCAACGGCGGCGGTCAGCGCAAGGGGCGGGCAGATTCGCGCCCGAGGCAGCTGGCGACCGGGGGCCAGGGCGGAAAAGGGGAGGGACAGCACCTCACTCCCAGGGGCGTGGCGGACGGCGAGGAGCGACGCCATTCCCCGTGCGCCGCGAGGAAGGCGCCCTCGATCACCTGGTCTGGCCGAGCTGCGGGAGGGAGCCCGTGCGGGCCCACCGGTGCGATGACCATGCGCGGGGGCGCTCCTCGTCGTGCGCACCCTCACCGCCGTCGAGAGCGAAGAGGTCGTCTGTGGTACGGGGCCAGTTGAACTCGTCGGGGCTGAACCACCCTTCGCGGCTGATGGGTGGCGTCTCACCGGTACCTCCGAACCCCATGGTGGAGCTGGAACGCGCCGAGCCCTCGCTGCTGCCAGGGGTGGCGCGCTCGCGCGGACGTGGGCAGCGTGGTCAGTCCACACGGGGTGGGGGGGGCGACGTGGCGCGCGCGCGTAGTGGGCCCTGGAAACGACAGGGTAATTTTTTACCGGTTTCGTTTTGCCGTTGTTTTGCCGGTTCCGACGCCGTTTTTTCTTAGCGGTTCTGTCGCCATGTTTTGGCAGCTCTGGTTCCGTTTCCAATCCTAGATCAGTTTTTGCTGCAGTTTCCGGTCGCCGCTTCTTTGCCGTTTCCATTTTAAACCAACACTTTCTCGGAACCGGCGAAAAAACGGCCCTGCCGCTTCCGGGGCCCATTCCCAGGGTCTGGCGGCCTCGGTGGCTCAGAGCGGCGGGGGTTTCCGTCCCCGTGCGTGGCTGGGGCGGCTCGACGCCCGACTCGGACGGCGCCCCAGGGGCGCGGCAGGGGCTGGCCGGGCGTGGATGACCGTCGGGGCGCGCGCCCTGGGGGCCGACGGGGCGACCCCCCCCCCCCAGCGCGGGCTACGCCCGTCGCGCTGCGGGGGGGGACGTATCCGTGCTGCAGCCCCGACGCTCTCGCAGCACGGCGCGAGCAGGCCGGCATCCTGAACGAGGTCCCAAGGCACGTGTGTTGCATCTTCGGGCGGCCACGTCTGTCCCGTCACGCCGCGATCCACATCGAATCAGCGTCGAATCCGTGTCGAATCCGTACCGGATCCAGGTCGAATCTGCGTCGGGGCGCAAGGAAAGACTGCCACTTGCAGGACGGGAGAGGCCACCAAGATGCAACGTGAAAGCAGGGCCAGGGGGATCGGCATGGAAACGGGCGGGGAGCTACACCTGCCAGACCCTTGCCAGGTACGTGCCGCAGCCGAGGCGGGCCCTCCCAGGAGGAGGAGGAGGAGGAGGAGGAGGAGGAGGAGGAGGAGGAGGAGGAGGAGGAGGAGGAGGAGGAGGAGGAGACGAGCGCACCCCGATTTTTTTTGGAAGGAGGAGACGAGAGGAGGAGGAGAAGGAGGAGGAGGAGGAGAAGCCGCCGCAGCGGCAGCGGAGGCGCGCAAAATGGAGACCGGGGGCAGGCTGTCTGGCCCTGGCCCCGTATGGGAGACGGGTCTGCATCCCAGAGGGCACGCGTCGGATGGCTCGGGAGCGCGGGCGGGTGGATGAGCCCGTCGATGGCCCGAGGGCCAGCATTTCGTGCTCGCAGCTGTCCCATACCCCCGACGTCATGCTTTTGTCATAACGTCGACCCTCACAGTCTCGACCCATTCCCCTGGAACGGTTTT